TTCAAACACGAAATTCAAGAATGGGCTATTAAATTTAGAGTTCCCCATAATGCCATCAATGCACTATTACCCATCTTAAATAAGCGTACAAACTGCAGCTTTCCAAAAAATAGCAGAAGTTTACTACAAACGCCTAGATCAACAAATATTGTGCCTATAAGTGGAGGCCATTATTATCATTTTGGTTTAAAAAGAGCAGTCGAAGCATTATTGAAACAGCGTAAAAACATTAGAAACGACGAAACTGTTAATCTTTTAATTAATATTGATAAACTGCCATTGTCCAAAAATATTGAGGGCTTAGTTTTTTGGCCAATTTTATGTTCGAATAACGTTTCTAAACAAGTTTATATTGTTGGATGTTTTTGCGGAAAAGATAAGCCAACATATGTTGAAGAATTTTTACGATTATTTGTTGATGAAGTTGTTGAGTTGACTCAAAACGGTTTTTTGCATAATAACGTACAAGTTAAAATTAATATCTCTGTTTTAATTTGTGATGCTCCTGCTGCAGCATATGTTTTATCAGTTAAACAGCATACTGGTTACAGTAGTTGTCGAAAATGCAATATTTGAGGGGAGTGGTTTCAGTCAAAAGTTTGCTTTCCGGGAGGAACATTACAGCATGATATAAGAACGGACAACAAATTTGCGAATAAAGAATACAAAGATCATCAAATTAGTACATCTATCTTAAATGAAATTCCCAATTTTGGATTAGTAACAAATGTACCATTGGACTATATGCATTTGATTTGCCTGGGGGTAATGAAAAAATTATTGTGGCTTTGGTTAAAAGGACCTGTCGGAATTTAATATATATAATACTGTAAATGTCAGCGCCTCTAGCGGTACTTATCTTTTTCATAGATATCCTAAGTTACCCATCTTATATTTTCTGTTTCTACGTTACGTGTTGCGTGTGCGCCTGTATTATTATCCTTCTTCCGTTGTATTGAGACTAACGTTCTTTTCTCTTCGTTTTATATATTCGCAATAATAAAAACGTATTGTAACAATTTAACTTGAGTATCATCACCATTATCGCGATCCTCCCACAGGTTATGGGCCCAGGACGCGTAGTCAATAGATGTGGTGTTTGAATAACATTTTATAATTGTTTGGCCGAAAGGTTAGTACGAATATTTTTTTTGTGAATTATCGAAAAGTTGATTGCTCTAGTCGGCGTCATG